GGTGGCTTGATGTAAAGCACTGATTTTAATAAAGCTTCAAATCAGCAGGCAGGAAACCCTGATCTAAATAATCAATGTTAATTGTTTTTTACATCTATATTTTGTAGTTATTTACCAAAAGAACATTGATTCTCTCTGGTTGGTAGTCATTAAAAGATGATAATTTTTAGGTCAATACAGTCTTTGCACTAACTTTGCTACTGCTGTTTGCTACATAAAAGGATATACTATATATGTATACACATTCTTAAAATTTAACATATGCTTATTCAGATGCTTAATTTTTTTAAACTTTTATACTACGGTAGAAAATGAGTGATGCATGTCTTGTTTATTAGATGACAATTTTTTAACTTGTGGCATTCAGCTGTATTTGGATGGATCCTGGAATTCGATTAAAATGTACAAAAACAGCATTTTAAAATGGGTTATTTAATGAATCCATCTCAAATATGTTGGCTACATTAAGAAGCCATAAGTTCATGGAAAAATTAAATCCAACTGATTTAATAAACAGAGGAAATACTATCTTTAGTTAGTAAGCTAAATTGAATTTCCTGGTCATCATATCCTTCGGGTTTTTAAAACTAGGAGATCTGCTCCTGTCAGATACATTTTTGTTGATAGATTGGAGAAGTGAAAATGAGTCTTTCTGCTTTTTCAGCTTTGCATTAGCTCCCCAAATTTAAATGAACTGGCTGTTGAATAGAACTAGTTAAATAAAGTCAAATGAAAAAAACACTCCCTGGGCTTGCAGAAGTAGCTATGCTGGTAAAAAGGTTGATTTGTCCCTTTAGAAAAGTCTTCCAGAGGCTTTGCCAGTGACTTCTTTCAGTTCAGTGGTTTGACTTTCTTTAAAGCTTTGGCAGAAAACATGTACTGGTTCAATGTTATGTTTTATTTAATTTTAATTATTTGAATGAGATGTAAGTGTAAGCCTTAAAATAGTTGCCATAATTTCACACTTAATTTAGAAGAGGTTTATTTAAAAAAATATTAACATTACATTGAAATTCAATTTAAATTAAATGAATCCTATTCTTAAAATCCATGTAGCACCTGAGAAGTGGGTTGCTGGGTGCTCAGGTCACTCACCGCAGATGTGGGAGATGCAGGCACAAGTCTTGCAAGTCTGAACTAAGCAGAGCAGGACCTCAGCACTGGGTGTCCATAGTCCAGGGAGCCGTCCCCTGACCACTAGGCTGTTTGGGGTGGGTCAGTCAGTCCTATAAAGCTTCCCCAGAACGATGTACTTTTATGAATACTTTTTAAATGGCATTTTTCAATAAAAAATTTCTATTGACAAATTCCTGACCAGCTCTAGCTTTGGCTTAATTAGGCTTGTGGGTGAGAACCATGCAAATCCAGATTTCCTGAATATGGTGGTAATGTCCTTATTAAATGCTCAGCTACAAACACATAGCCTTTCCGTGCTCAGTGGGTCTGAGATAAGGCCTGTGCTGTTTTATGGCCATTCTGTAGGCCTTATTGGATAGACCTGAAAATGTTAAATCAGGAAACTCCTAAAGAGATGGTGTGTGAGACTGAGCTGCATATGCACTGTAGCAGGAAGCTGCTAGATGTAACTAGGGAAGCCTGATATATGCCTGGTAAGAATGAGGGAGTTTACAGTACTCACAAGCCACATGTCTAGTTTCCCAGTTTCAGACAGGATAAGAGAATTATAGATTTCATAGACACTAGGGCTGGAAGGGACCTCGGAAGATCATCGAGTCCAGCCCCTGCCCCAGGAATTGTAATAAATAAGCCAAAATTATGGTGCATTAAGATTAAGGGTATAAAGATAATTTAGGTACCAGATATTGCCCAATTAGAAAAACAAGTTTGGCACATGAATAGTATTCTGATAGGCTAGTAAACACGTGACTCATGCATGACCTAAGTAGCTAACTGTGTATTAGCTAATGATTGGACTAACTCTCTATCCATGGGTACACAGATGCAGAACAACGGGAAGACTTGGTTCTGCGTGCTCTTACAACTATTCTTTGTCAGCCAGCCTGATCACCTGGCTGACAGCAAATAAAGCTAATTTGGTTGTACTTAACTGGGTGCATCTAAATGAGATGCTTTGCTGTAGCTTACTGTGCAGAAAGCGTGTGCGTCTACACGTGCACATGCTTACTGTGCAGTAAAACTGGCTAATTGTGATTAAATCTGTTACCTGCAAATGCAAATAGCAAATTTACTTGTGATTACTAACTGTGCACTAGCGGTCGTGTAGATGCATGACCCGGAGCAAATATGGTCCCAGCCAGCCGGCGCGGGAAATTGCTCCCTGCCCCTGGAAGCTGCCTGTTGCTGGAGGAGAGCGGGGATCTGCCACTGAAGCCCAGGCAGGGACTAGGTCTTCCTGCCCTGGTAGCAGGGAGCTCCAAGCCTCCCCACCACTCCTAGATCATGACGAGGGAGCAGGGGCTGGGACATCCTTATCACCCAGCGCCAGCTCTGTGACAGTGTAGCTGGTGCTGGGACATCTTTATCTCCCAGCCTGAGCTCTGCAGTCACAGGGCTGGCACTGAGAGATCCTTATCTCCAGCACCAGCTCTATTGTTGCAGGACTGGCACTGGGAAAGCCTTATCTCCCAGTTCTGGTGAGCTGTCACGGGCTGCAAAAGTAGCCCTGCTCCTTGACAGGTTCCTCTTGGGACAGAAAGTTCCTCCCCTATCCCTTGACCTGTGCACTGAAAGTCTCTCCTCTTGCCCCCAGAAATGCTGCTTTTGGGGGGAGGGCGGTTGCCACTTGGAACTGGAACCCCCCAATCATATATTAAAAGTCAAACATCATGTTTTAATTTTATTACATTTTTTGGTTCTGATTTGTGTACATCTGAGTAGTGTATATAGACCTGATTATGTAATAGCTCAAAAATAAAGTCTTACTCTTGTATATTGTGTGTGGGGGGTGTGTGTGTGTATGGAGGAGTGTGTGGGCTGTGGTTGGGGGGTGGATGTGTGTATGATGGGGTCTGGGGTATGTGTGGGGGGTGTAGGTTATGTGGGGGTGTGTGGGCGTGTGGTGTTTGTAGGGTGCAAGGGAGACTGGGGGGTGTGGGGAGCCCCATATGCCTTCCCCCCCCCCCCCCCCCAAATGGGGCCCACCCCCCCCCCCCCCCCCCCAACAAATGGTGCACAGCCTCTGCCACCCACAGCAGCAGGAGACAGTGAGCCCTTGGGGTGTTCACAGCCTGTGCAGGCGCAGCCGTCTGGCAGAGCCCAGCTCCAGCCACTTCTGGGAGCTTCATGTGGTGGCAAGGGCCAGCTGGCATGTATCACGCAGGCTCCCCATGCCTCACGTACAGCTCCCAGGACTCACGTGACACAGGGGGAAAGCTCCACGCGATGGAGACGGTGGCCTAGCCCTGCTCCCTACTGCCACATGCAGCTCCCAAGACTTCACTGGGAAGCAGGGAGCAGGGCTCCCCACCACTTTTGGCAGAGTCCTGGGAGCTGCACGTGGCAGCTGCACGTGGCAGCAGGGAAGTGGGGAAGGCAGCTGGCTCCATTGCGTGAGGCTTCCCCCCAGTGGTGTGAGTCCTGGGAGCTGCAGTGCACGTGAGCTGTGGGGAGCTGCATGCAGTGGAACTGGGCCGACCCGGGCTCCACACTCCTGCTGCCCCAATGGGTGCAGGCCCTGGGGTCCCAACAGCCCCAGTGCCATGCTCTATACTCCCACCCTGCTGTAGCTTTCCTCTGCCCACTGCTGCTTCCCTACTTGCTGCGTGGAGTGAGCGGTGCAGCAGGGGCACAAGGAGGAGCTTCTGGAGGCTGGAGAAGCTGAGCACTTCCCCTGGAGGCTGCAGCAGTGGCCCTGCCTGTACGCTGTGCATGCTGGCCAGGGCCCTCCTGTACACGAGGGTGGGTACCTGTGGGCCACATCCAGCCTGTCCCTGTTCTAGCAACCCGTCGCTGCCGAGCATCCATACTGAGGCTCTTTGCTTCTCTGTCTGAACTTCTGTACACGTCAATGTTTCTCTCAGGAAAACAGACCTGGGAGAGTTGTCTTGGATGATATCTGAATGTGTGTATGCAGTCTTTGGGTGATGTGTACATGAGAGTGTTAGCCGGAAAAAATGATGGCCATAGACACTCCTGGCATGTAATGAATAATAGAGCATGCTCAGTTCTATTAGTGATTGGGTGGGGTGGGGTTCTGACACCAACTCTCCTTTGGGCAAGATGCTGTCAACAAAATATAAATATTTAACTGAAGAGCTCCTGAAGTTTGCAATCAGCGGTTTAGTGAGAACAAACACCAAGGAACAGGCACTTTTCAGGCAGTTAAAATTGCTAATAAATGGTTATCATGGACTGTGTTGCACACTTTTATTCTTCATCTATACTTGATACTGTATCTGAATTTATTGACTAGAATCAGCAATGCCATAAAGTACCTGACTAGGACAACATTATTTTTTAGGCACATTGTTTACAGTTTGCACCATAACAGTTCCTTTGAATATGTTGGATGTCCCAGCTTTTACAGTCATTCCCTATTTTTCCTCCTTCAATAGTGTTTTAGCAGATTGAGGATTTATTTATTTATTTGCATTAACATTTCCAAATGCCAAGTACCTGGCCTACAGCTACTTCTCTATTGATTTCACATAGCTGCTAATACTTAATCATGCCCAGCACCAATGAATGGTTACTTAGACATTCCCAGCTTTTGGTTTATACTTCCTTTTATCTTAAACTGGAATTTCAGCATCCTTCACAAAACATTAGCTAAATACATTCTTAGCAAGGTTAAGTCTCTTATTTCTACTGCTGTTGATATCTGACCACTCTTTCACTTCAGCATAAATGAAATTTAGACAAATAAATATAAATTCAAACATTCATATCTGTACAGCCTCAAACTGAAACAAATCTTATGAGAGGTTAAATACTGGAGAATGATTCAACAGGAACACAGATTTATGCTCGTAAGCCATTCCCCACCCTTGGATTTAGGAGGAAATTGAAGGGTAACTCACTTGAGCATGTTAGTTTGATGGACATGTAGTCTCTTCCACAATCTTTCTTGTAGTGACAGCGCAGCCAGTTCAGGAGGCAGAGTCCGTTACCACACTGGAGCTCTTCTTTTTTACAAGGCAGAATGCTCTGTTCATCTGAAAAGAAGAGAAACAACGGATGGCTTTGGCAGCGCACGTTTCCCACCTGAGTAACAATGCTACAGCTCTCTGGAAAGCCAATTTTCCTTTTAACCATCTTTAAAAAGCTTGGGAGAGCAAAAAACTGTTTCTTCTTTGTAAGATATCAAAATGGGGCCTAAGACTCAAACAAATGCTTGGTACTTTTTTATTAATCATTTATATGATGTTACAGACAAATGAAGCATGGGTAAAAGCTATTAAACAAATCACAAAGGACACAATTTTCCGAAGTCTTTGATTCTTATGTCACTTACATGCTTTAAAAATAAATCTACTTAGTGTTCAGCCCAGTCAGCTTGTGCACAAAGAGGATAGCAGAAAAGGGAATAGGGTGGTCTAACAGGTGGCGTAATTATGAAGAGTTGAGGTAGCTATGGATGGGAACTTCTAGTGATCCTTTTCCAGTTTGCAAAATACCATTAATAGTGTGGAACCAAATCCTATGGCAAGTATGTGCGGAGGAGGAGGTGGTGGCGGCTTGTTTTTTGCTGTGACCTGAATATCAGAACAACTTGAGTTGGGCTGACTATTGGAGAGTAATGCTCATGTTTGGGCTCACAGAGACTTTTGGACCAGCACAAGGTCTTCTGTTGAATGCAATCGCTTGCTCTTTTATATCTGAACAGCCTGAGACTTTCTTCCTACTTGAGGAATGAAGCATGTTCCCATCACTACTCCATAGCCCTGCCCATGACTATTCCAGATCCTTGAGGAACAGGAGTTGAATATCAAGCTCCCCACTCCCCATTCCATTCATTACAGATGAAGGGACATTTTCTCTTGACCTATAACTGGTGGTTGTGTTAGACCCCACTCCACCAGCAAAGTAAGAAGGAATAGTTCTCTATTCTCTGTCCTTAGGGAGACACTGAGGTTAAGGCTTTATCATTTTGAACCTTGAAACCACGCCATTTTGAGTCCTGAGAAGAATGAATTTAGGGCTCAGATGTTTAGGTCTGTGCTTACTGTACCAAAGAATGGTTATTCATCCCTTCCCAGAGGTTGGGAATTGTAAGAGAGCACACAAAATCAATTCAGCTCCAGACTGGCCACCTCACCCAGTCATTTTATGGGATATTCACAAACAAGCATGGGAACAGCTACTGGTTCTCATGTTGGGGGAGCAGCTGGTTTTCATACAAACACTCAGATTTTGTACCTACATCAGACTATAAAAGCATCCGGCTATTTATCCCTGGTTGTTCTCTTTGGTATATTAGTTGTCAAGTTGTGGAAGAAACCGTGCCAGGTAGAGCACAGGTGATGTCTCATACCATGCTAGTAGTGAACAAGTTGAAAAGAGCTGTCTTTTAGCTTTGAAATCTGTCCAGATTCCTGATTCAGTACTTGTGAAGTACAATCACAGAAATGGGGAATAGTTTGGAAAGTATTCAGGAAAATAAATATGCACAGGTTGTCAATAACTTCTTTACAAAAACAATCTGGCCTTTCTGAAATTTCTGAAAGATGCTCATTTTTGCAAACATTTCAAAAACTGGGGCGGGGTAGCAGTGCAGCGTATAGATAGATGTCACCTTTGTGCCACAGTTTTCATGGTGAAACATAGGGAAAGCAAATAGATATTTATACCATTTTTCATGTGGCACATGCCCAAATTGGCACCCCCAACAAAAGGTGGTAAGAGTTTCTCCTGCTTTATTGCAACAGATGTCTGTTAGGTTTCTGGCACAAGGTGTGGGCACCTTGGGCAGGTGATCTTTTGTTTCCTGGGAATTCCCATAAAGGATTGGGCCCCTCAAGCCGTGGAGCACCTGCCCAACTCTCCCCTCTTTGAGATGTGCCACAGGGGACCTCCAAGGCACATGTCTGCAAATGGGGAACCCGTCACCCAGTGAGTCACCAGGCAGATCAATGGGCGGGACAACAGGTGATGTGTGTGTGGTTCACCCAATGAAGTGGATCAGCTGTGCTGGGACACATCCTGGCACAGGTGACCCACTTCATTTAGCAACATCGGTTTATACCCAAAGACAGCGTAGAAAAAGTGGTCAGCTATTAGAGTAAAATAATAGTTCCACTGCTAGTTAGTAATAAAGACCCATAAGCATAAAAAAACAGGGGTCAATGTTACATTCTTCCCAGGTCCTACAGCTGCACTTAAGTCACTTTATCATACCAGCCTTAACCTTCCAAATTAATGAAAATAAAAATCAGACCTCAAACTGAAAATACCAGCTCTTAGAAGCAAGAGAGCAGGAGACCAATGCAGAAATCAGCATCCAGCTGAAAAGAGGCATTCTGATTAATTCAGGTTTTTGTTTGCTCTCCAATATTTTTAACTCGGAGCCTTTGTGTCAGCTCTCATAGCGGGAAAACCATGCAGTTAGGAGTAATTGTTCATGATTTCCAATTCTCCACACAGCTGCTCCAGTGGAAAATGTCAGAACCCCCAAATGCATTTATAAATATCACCAGCATTGACAGCACACTGTTACTATATGTCTTAGACCATACACTTGTAACTTGGCAGCTCTGCAATCTAAAGGGTAATAATCAGATAATTTAGTTTTGTTCTTTTTGCATGTTTTGGATAATGTTCCCTGAATAGCTAGGGCACTTGTGGCAGCTACTTAAAACATGAACTTGAGGGATAAGAACACGCCCCGTAAGAGAACAGAATTCCCAGCAATCTAAAGATTGTTACTTATTTTAACAGCAGCTAAAATATTTAATAGGGAAGCAATGTTAATAACATTAATATGAAGGGCCAGCTTTGCCCCTTGAGGAAGTGGGATCAATTTCATTGACTTCTTATCAGTCTAAATTTGGAGAAGCAGACTCTTGCAAGACCTCTGAGCAGGTGCAGGGAAAATGATAGCAATGAAATTACTCTTGAAAAATATATTGGAGGAAGTAGCCAAGCATTCCCCACTGCTTAAGTCCATTTATTTCAGCCTCTAGTTTTAACATGTCTGTGGACTTTTTCCAGTCCACTCCGTTCCACCCCCACCTTCTCTCTCTCGTCCCTAGCAGTTCCCCTCTGTCATGCTGCATGATCTTACTGCTATTCTCTGCAGTTTCTGCCACCCAGAACTGCTAGCTTTTCTCTTCATTGTCTTTGCTTTATTTCAGATGTCACCTAAAACACTCATCTCTTTCCTCACTCATAAATCACTTTTAATTTCTTTCTTCTTTTAGTAGTTGTTAGGATGTGAAGGCCACTTGTTGGTGTGCTGTGTTGCATTATCAGTGTAGGAGAACTCTGTGAGCTATACGTAACAGTGGAGAATTATGCTTTGGAATGGAAAGCAGTAGAAGCTGATCACATCTGGAAGACAGCAGGCAGGCAAAACCGACTCCCTGTCTCTTGCCCAAACTGGGCAGTCCCAGTTTTCAGGATGAGGCAGGGGGCTTTGCTGGTTCCTGCCCGTTTCCCCTTGCTGCCAAGATGAGCAGTGGAATGGCGATTTAAAAGCTAGCTGGGACAGGGACTCTATGATCTCCCCAACCTGGCTCCTGCCAGCTCCTTCTTGCCACTCTACCACCCAACTGAACAGAGAGGCAGTGATTTAAAAGCTGGTGGCTGGAAGTGGGGTCCCCAAGCCCCAGCTGCTGTCTTTTAAATCATCACCTCACCACTCACCTGGGTGGAGGCATGGCAAGAGACAGCCAGGTTGGGGAAGTTTTCCCGAAGCCCCAGTCTCAGCCACTGACTTTTAAGTTACTGGGGAAAGCCTCCACACACCTCGCTCCTGGTCTCTCTGGCTTTTAAACTGCCACCCCCTGCTGCTCAGAGCAGTGGTGTGGGAGGGGAGCAATGGGAAGATGGAGGAGCTGGGAACTGTGTGTGTGTGAAGGCTTTCCCCAGCCAGTCCTGGCCTCTTTAGCTTCCCTCCAGCTGACCCAGAGCTGTGTGGGATGAGGCAGGTTGCTGTAGCTGCAAGGCTCAGGACGCAGAGAAATGCCCCTGCACTGCCCAGAGCTGCACAGAGCAAGGCAGGCTGCAAAGCTTTTGCCGCAAGGCATCTGGAGCCTTGCTGCAGCAGAGGAGTGCGCTCCTCCCCTTCCCAGATAGGGGAGAGGACAGGCTGTCAATTAATGGGCTCTCCTAAGGGCAAGGGTGGCCCTGAGTATGGTATGGGGCTGGAGGAACAACTGTATGGTCTAGCTCCTGAACTATTTTTCTACCGGAAGAAATTTCTTTTGGTGGAAATGAACATCTGTACACACCCTGTGTCTTACTGGAAAAAAGAGATATAGCATATCTACCCTGAAGGGTTTCCATTGCTGCAAAATATTTATTGCAAGTAAAGACTGAAGAAGCTGAAGGATGAAATGTGGGCAAGGAACTTATTTAATTCTGTGTTAACCTGGAGTAAGTTGGGAAGAATTTAATGGAGAACACCCAGTTTTTACATAGCACTTTTTGTCCTTAGATTTCAAAGTGCTTTACCAAGGTGGGTAATCATCCTTTTTTTAAATTGAGGCATGAGACTGTAAGGACTTCTCCAAGGTCATCCAGTAGGCAATGGCAGAGTTGGGTCTGAAAGAGGGGTAAAATGTGCTGTTTGAAATTATTACAGGTGTTATAATGCTAATAACTTGAACTTAGTGCTGATGGGAAGAGTAATCAAATTTATTTTGCCTGGTGCATTTAATTTAATATATTTCCTAAAGACACAGGGACCTAATGCCATTCCCTACTTGTAAGTACACATATAGTTTAAATTATGCCACTAATTTACAGAAGAGAAGACTGACGGGGGATTTGACAGCAACCTTGAAGCGTGGTTCCAAAGAGGATGGAGCTTAGTGGCAACGTGTAGGTGGTGCACAGGGGTGCACATGCACCCCCTGAGAGCACTGGTGCACCCCCTGTCATGCCACGCTCCCTGTGTAGGCAACGGGCGCGGGGCAGGTGGGAGTGCTGGTGTTTCCCCTGCCGGCAACAGCCAGGAAGCAGGGCTGCCAGCAAAAGCAGCTGCACCACTTCC